TGTGACAAATCCAGTGGAAAAGCTGTTATTYAAAAATCAAGTATTTTGTTATGTTATTTTAGAGTGATAAGAGTCTACAGGATTTATGGTAGGCATTTCTCATATTTAGGATAAATATACAGATATCGCCCAAAAATTTCAATGTACACGCACAGCATTGAACTCATATTATTATGGGATTGGGATATAATGTACTACTGAAAGCAAAATAATAATAATAAAACCATAGTAATTGTTAGGGATACACTGTAATGCCGTTGAACTAACAGTAATAGACAGACATACCTTCTTGCTGTTGTCTTAGCTCCAGAGCCACAAGCCTGAGGTCTGTTTCTAGTTGCTTCTGTTTGCGGTGGTATGTGCTCCACCAGCTTTTTATTTGTGACTCTTTCAGAGGGGTCAGGCCAGCTGCTTTCATCGCATCAATGACATCTGGATTGGCTCTTATCTGTGATGCCTTCTGTCTATCGTAAAATAAAATCATTATTTCCTTCTATTCTTTGCTGAAGGTTGATCTTTTCCCTCCTCCTTTCTTTATGGCGAAACCAGCATCTGGYTTATTGTTTTCGTAGTCTTCTTTCAATGGTACAAGGCTAGGAGGTGATTGGCTAGGCAATGGCTCTTGTATAAACTTAATGGAATAAGTGTCCTCTTCCTGATGAGTGCCAACCAATGTATCGGTGTCACCAGATGCAGTCCATTCATCGCCTGTCACTGTGGCACCTGTGTTTCCTGCTATGCAAATGGTTCTCCCAGATATGGCTTGAAGTTGCTCTTTGGATTTTTTCAAAATATTCCCAACACCTGCAAGAGATTGCAAAAGCAATCCAGAAGCATGAGTGTCAGATGTGGGGAACTTGAAACTTCCATATACAGAAATATCTTTCAGGGTTCCTATTCCTTTAGGTACTTGAGCTCGGTTGATATGAAGTTTCTTGCACTTTACATTCTTCATGGACTGAAATGAGAAATCAGTACTCAAGGTGAATGTTATTTTGAAAACTTTTATGTCATTTATTTTAGTCTCAAAACATTTGTGTGTGGGAGAAAGTGACTGACAACAAACACAGCCATTTTAGCCAGTAATAATTTGTTTTAGTAGAAGCATTCTAATGGGTGAAAATATAATAAAGCAGTTATGTTACTTAGTTGGTCTACAATGCACTGGCATGTTTATAATAATGCATGTTAGATAAGAATTGAAAACTGGATACTTAGCGTACCTCTAGTAGTTGGGCCAGCTGTTCACCTGAGACCAGATCATTGCCAACTTTCACCCAACGCAGTAACTTCTGGGATATGTGGGCAAAGTGTGTGTCTAGTACTGTTTTGCCTTCACCTGCCTCAAAATTGTCGTATTCTTTCAGAGTGATGTTGAAGGACTCATTGAATTCAGACAGATAGAGTAAAACTGATGTATTGTGGTAGTGTGGTCCATTGTCTAAAAGAAAAAGGATCTTGGTTTAAATGCTGAATTCACAATAACATGATGTTTTGCTTTTGTGATAGACAGTTAAATTCTAGTTAGAGACACTGATAGACAGACAGACAAACAGCAAAGGCATACTGAAAAAAACTTCTGCGTTTATATACATGTAAGCTTTGTTTTTTTTGTAAACAGGATCTTTTGGGGTTGATTAACAAAATAGCAAAATTTGAAAGTTTTGAGATATAATGCCCTAGACTTTGGAAGAAGTGATAAATAGGTCCAGTGTCAGGGAGGATGAAAATGTTTGGGAGGAAGCACAACAAGAAAACATGAATTACTTACTATACTGGTTCTGTTAACAACAAGAAGGTTAATGCAGCATTGTTATATGACAAGCATTTTTTGGGGGCCTCGCCAAAAAGATTGTAAGCAAAGAGGACAGATACAGAAAAAATAGTGTAAGAAGCATCATTTGTGTTTTTCTGCATTGACTGTGTTAGTATGCAGATTACCGTGAGAATAGTCATGTTCTTACCTGAGCACAAATAAACATGGAACCTTGGAAAGTTATTTTCCATCCATTTGAATCCTATGTCAAGGGCACTTTCAGTGAACCAAGCATCTTGCTTGGTGTCATCTGACCACAAGTCTATGACTTCTATTCTTCTTTCTGTTTCAGAAATTTGTGCTATTACATAAAAGCCATGGAGCGAGATTCCTCTTTTCCCGTACCAGTCGCGTTGGATTTCTCTAGATCGCATGCATAGCTGCAGTTTCATCTTATAATMTATTATAACAACTGCTTCTCCAGGCTTTAAATTATTGAGGACATACCTTCAAAACAAAAAGTGAAATTAAAAAACTGGACTCCAATGGCCCATAATATCTATTATTACTTTCAAATGCACAAGCACAATAAGCAACCTGCAATAAAGCTTTAAATTTCTATAATAAAACAATCAGGACTCAGGTCATCATGTGTTTTACAATTGAATGTGAAGCTCAAAGTTTGAATTATGAAGAATGAAGTTTGAAGTACGA